TGATCGTCTTTGAATTTTTGGTAGGTGGACGACATGCTTACAACTAAAAGAAAAATGTTATGAAACAGGTGGAGAGTACCTTTCCTGTAAAGAAGACTTACAAACCAAACGATCTGACTTACAAACCAACGACTTGAGGACGAACACTCAATTTGTTTTTAGTTTTACAAGTTTATTAGGGTGGAGAGAGGACTTGTGAGAGTGAAACAATCTGCTAAGGAACACTAAACTATGGCTCGGGAAGGAATTCAACCCAGACCCCTCAATACACTGACCTTTAGGCAAGCATATGTCAGTCTGTTGGTAATAAGTAATTATAAGTGACACATGGTTTTCTCTGCTATGACTGACTTTCTGAAACATTTATTTTTAATTTCCAGGGGTTTGGTAGAGCTGATCACTCCATCGCAGTCGAGAAACTTATAAAAGCTTACCCAGATTATGAAAGTATGACCTTCGTTATTAGAAACATGTTGAGAAGTCTGAATGTATTTATTAAGTCATATTTTGTAGTAATCTTGCTACCAAAAGATTAATTATTTGATACATTGTATAGGATAGGGCACTTAAAAAAAGGTACAATTTGAGGTCTTTGTATTTGGCAGTGCTTTCAGTAAGACTTGGTGCATGTGAAAGCTCTTGCAAGATCAGTTGTGTAGTAAAATACCTGGAAAACCTTGACAGCTTTAATTTGGTAGAGAAAAAATAAAATGGACACAGTGCTTAAAAGGAGATATTTTATAAACTGATAGACCCCCCCCCCCTCCTAGTATTACTCACTTGTCTTCAAAGAGGCTGTTGGGGCAAAGTTCATCTGTGTTCGTTCCAGACCACCAGATATGACGAACTTTTTCAATTTTTAAACCAGAAAAATTTTAGTTTCTTAAGGGTGCCATGTACTGTAGGAACAGCCACCTATGTAAACTCAAATCTGAACGAAAGCACTATTTAAAAGTTGGCTTGTTATCCTCTTTGCACGCACATTACAGTTTGTTATATAGAGTTGAAAAATCTTTCCAAGTGATGAATTTATATAAAATGCATCCAGAACTACAACGCTACATTGGAGATGTAAACTAACAAATCCAAACCTGTTTTGGCACAAGATAACTACTGAGATTATAGTTTTTTAATAAACAGTGCTGTACTCAGGTGTATAATGATTAGAATCATACTTAATTATATCGTTAGCTTGAACTGTTATACAGCATGTAAAATTTGCGATTAAGGAATAACTTCACCTTACAATATCATAACATTATCCCGGACTCAGGGAAAAAGGAAAAGACTTGTTTAGCCGCAAGACTGGTTGCTATTTACATACAATATCAGATACTCCTTAACTAATTTACCAGAAAAATGAACAATTGATGAAGGGACAATTATTTCTTAGACATTTAGAGTCGAGGAAACATTTTTCCATTGTTTTACATATATAATAATATCTAATTGAAATTCAGTTCGATTGCGTTCGATTTACTATACTGGGTCTGTGTTATGTTATCGCTATTTGAGCTTTAAGACGAGCTTACTCACTTAAAAAAATCATGGTATATGTTGGAAATACCTTTTTTGTGAGTCACGAAGTAGGATTGATTTTTGACACAGAAATCTGCTCGATGACACTGACAAGAAACGCAGGAACAATATTCCCACTTTGACGGCTGCGACCATCAGGGTTGAACGGATAGAGTGCACCTGAATAATTAGTCAAATACTCGGAAACAAAATAGGGGGTTGCCCGCTACAGGTCTGAACTTGCTCTATTGTTTTTGAAGTGGAATGATGGTCATACGACTGTCTCGTGATTTTTTTCAACCAATCTCAGTAAATGATGTTTGCGGGCGGCCCAAGCTCCAGGTGTTTCTAAGTTTACTACAGGCATTTAGAAATGGACAACTCGCCGAAATGGGTTCTTTTTAAAATAGTAAGCGGTCAGATAGCAAGCGATGCACTGTGGAAGTAAGGTGAGGTATTTTTATTGAGAATTCGACTGTATTTTTCATTCCTAAGAGCGGTCGTAAATATACCCATCCAAAATCTTATAGTTTCGCCATGACTCTTAGCAAGATGATCATCACACAGCTGAAGCTTGGGCTTGGTATATTTAGAAGGTCATGAATTAATTTAATTTTAAAAATGGCTGAGAGCGAAACTGGTTTAACCGATTTGGTGCATGATTTGGATTTAGAAGATGTGAATGACACTGGCTATAAAAGAGATATCGACGTAAAAATCATCAACGGGTTTTATTACCAAAATGTGGCCTACATGAACGACAATGTCCGGTTATTTGCTGACTATTGGATGAAGTTGTATTGTTATGACTGCTTTAGGACTGTCGAAAACTATGTTATTCAGAACGCATTCGTATATGGAATGTGCCTTAGTCGAGCCTTTGAAAAGTTTCAAGAGGAAATGAGTATGAAGCGAGTTTCTGGTAGCCTCGATGATTGGGTTGATTCGAATTGTAGAATTAAGAAAACAAGAGCTTGGCAACTTAGAATGTCTTACAAGCTTTTTAGTCCTTATAAAAAGGTGTTAAGATGTAAGTTACCATTTATATGGTTTGTAAGGAATGGTAAAACTGTGGTTGATTATTTTAAAAGTCATCATGAGGCAGCTCTAACATGGACTCATGAACTAGACTGTGCCTGTGAAACTTGCAAGATGTAAGCTGACACAACTGTGGCGTGACGTCACATCTTCAGTAGAAATATTACATTGAAGCGCTGAATTATTAAGGCGGGCCGGTATAGATGTGCCGTGACGTTGCATCTTCAAATTTGTCCATAAGCGTAAGATGTTAT